CTCCTCCTCCTCCTCCTCATCATCATCATCATCATCATCATCATCCTCTTCCTCCTCCTCCTCTTCCTCCTCCTCCTCCTCCTCCTTCCCCCCGTCCTCCTTCGCGGCCGCGTGTTTGCCGCGTGCCGGGATCAGTCTGAATGGGGGCCAGCAGACACATCCGCCGCCCCATAAAGAAGGCAGCTTAACCAGGGGTGGCTGGCTGTCTTATACAACGGCCACTCCCAGGGGGATAGGTCTGGCGGCCGGTGTTTATAGAATTTGCGTGCGACCCAGCGCGACCACGAGGACTGGGTCCGTAACGTTGAAGACAAAGTGTGCTTCAGGAACAATAGAAACAAGACGCTGTACAAGATGACGTCGACACAACACGGCGGCCTCAAGGTGGCGATAGCGGGGCCTAGGCCTAGAGGCCCCGACGCCCCGCGCCCGCCCCCGCGTGCCGGTGGCAGGTGGCGGCCCCGTGGGGTCCGGCCTGCCGGCCGCAGTGTCACTCGAACGTGTGACATAGCCGCTCCAGAAAAGCGCCGCCACACGGCCGCTAAGGCCACGGGGAATCACGATAAGGAACGCCGGTTTACCCCCCCCTCCCACGGTTGTACATATTTGACCGGCCGAAGCCCACGGGCAAGTGCACAAGGCCAGCATGATGAACACGAAATATGCCACTGCCGGCAAAGTCTCCCGCCACCAAGAGAGGTCGAACTCAAAGGTCGTCTCGCCCCCCCACGGCCGCTGTAACCGACGCGACGCGAGGAGTTCAGAATACGAGGAGGAGCCCACTCCTCGGCAGCCACCAACACTGCCTCAGGCAACAAGAACCATGTGGCCGGGCTCCCACCGCGGTGAGACACTTCAATGGAACCCGAAGTTCTGGGGAGCTAATCGAAGCAAAGGTGAGCGCGCCATAAGCCTCCTGTACAACTTGCTTCGCTTCTTGAGGTTCCCCCTGACAAGGGGTTGAGACAATTTGTTGCGTGGGAACCCAACGAGGGCCAAAACGACCGCGTTGCCTTCGAGGTCGGGCCGCCGCCGTCGCGCCCCCCGCGCCCCTGGCCGGCTCGCGCGGCGCCGCTGGCGCCCCGCCCGCGCCGCAACCCGCGCCCCACGCTGCATCTAGCCTCTAGCCTGCTGCCGATGCGTCTGCAGTGCAGCCCCGCAGACATTGGACCGCCGCCTCAGGTTGTTATGTTGCGCCTTGTTTTCGTAATCGGTCTGTGCTTCCGCGCTGCATTCGGCCTTCCGTCGGCGCCGCCGCCGCTGGCCAGCGCCGCTGGGGCGCCGCTGCCTGCGCCTCCGCCTCCGCCGTCGCCTGGCGCCGCTGCCCGCCAGAAGTGCGCCTCCTCCGCCGCCGCCCGCGCCTCCGCCGCCGCCCCGGACCGCCGCCGCCCGGCGCCGCCGCTCAACCGTCCGCCGACGCGGCCTGGCGCGCCACGCCCGCCGCCGCCCGGGCGCCCAGCTTCGAGGCGCGCCGAGCCGCCGCGCTCGGCAAGCCGCCTTGCTCGGCGAGCCGGCCCCCGCACGCCTGCGCCGCGGGCGCGCGAGCCTAGCCGGCGCGCCGCCGGCTCGCCGCCGGCTCGCCGCCGCCGCCGCCGCCCCGCGCGCGGAGCGGAAAGCGTCCGCGCCCAGATTCGGGTGGTCGCTTGCGCCTCCATCCCGGAGCCCCTGAGCGCCAGCGCAAAGGCCGGCGCCGTGGGATCTGGGCCTGGATGGCGCGCGCCATTGCGCCCCTCCCCGGCGGCAGCAGCGGCGCCGCCCTGGGCGGCGCAGCCCCTGCCCGCCGACGTGCCCGCGCCGATCGGGGCGCCAGTGACCGCCGCGTCGACGCAGGCCGCCGAGGCGGGCGGCCTCTGCGGCGCCGATCGGGCGCGCGCAGCCCCAAACGGGCTCCGCGCCAGCGCCTGTCCCGCCACGGGCGCCGAGCCAGCGGGCGGGCCAATCCCAGACGCCGTCGCGGCGCTGGATCGCGCCGCCGCCGACGCGGCAATCGACGCCCCCCCGTCGCGGCCAAGTCGGCTCCGCAGCGCGTGCTGGCCCCGCTGCGCCAGAGGCAGATGGCGCTGGCGGCCGCTGGCAGGCGCGGCTGGAGGTGCAGCGCGAGGGCTGGGAGGAGGCGCGCGCCCGGTCGGGGCGACGGCTGGGGCCAGCTCCCCGCCCCTCCCAACTAGCCGCGGTCTGGCGAGGCGCCGTGGAGCTGCTGCCAGCGCGCGCGCTGCTCCGGCAGCCCCGAGGGCGCGCTGCGTTTTGGCCCGGGGCCCCGCGGCGGCGCGGAGCCAGGTCGCGCCGCGCGCATGGACAGCGCGGCCCGCCCCCTTAGCCGCCCCCCACGCCGTCGGGCAAGGGCGCTGGAAAACCTCGAGGCCAGCGAATCCGAGCTCGCCGAAGACGCCCGCCAGGCGCGCCTGCCAGGCCCCGGCGCTAGCGGGCCAGCGGCGGCGCGCGAGGCCGGGCAGCCCCAACGCGCCGCCGGCGCCGGGCCAGAGCGAGAGCAACCCGAACCACGCCCGTGCTCGCCCGAAGAAAGGCCCCCAGCAACTTGCAAAACATCCCACCGCCGAGGGCTGGGGCAACATTATCGCAGCATGGAGAATTCATTCAACACGCACTCGCAACTTGTAACTTACGCCTACGACATGGCTCATTTTGCGCCATCGCGCACGCGCGGCGGCGCAGCTATATAAGCGCAAACAACGCGTTCATCAAACGCGCAGTTTGCGAAACCCGAAACGTCGCGACTCTCTATCGTCACCGTGGGGGCGCGTTGACTGAGTCCACAAGCTTTCCAAAACAAATGTGCAAATCTTCCTGGTGGGCGCGAGGGTGGGTTGTTCTCTCTCGATGGGGGACCAGGTCGCGCGCGTCGCCCGGAAGCGTCTGGCGCCCTGTGAACGGCCGCAGGCTCTCGCGCGCGCGCCGCCAACAACCGCCGCGTCGTTCGCCGGGCGCGCGTCGACCCGCGCGCGCGCGCCCGCTCGCGGCGCGGGGCCGCGCCGTTGGCGAGGGCGCGGGGCCGGGCGAACTCGCCCTGGGCGCGCGGC